AGGAAAATGCGCGAGTTCTAACACAGACTTACGAGACAATGCGCAATTTCTAACACAGACTAACGGGAAAATGTGCGAATTTTAACACAGACTACTGTTGTGTGTATTTAGATTCAATGAAGTTTAAACATCATTATACAGAATAGTATGACGGATGACTAATATATAATTTATTTTAACATTTTTTAATAATACAAGCTTAAATTGAAATGTATCTCATAACAATTAAAAGGCGTTGTAGAGTGATGATGAAAAAGGGGTGTTCTGTAAAATTGATTCGTGCATACAGTTTGTAGAGATTTAAAAATTATATTTATCACCGTAAATTAAATATGGGGGGGGGGGAGGATTTACGAAAATAAGAACTTGGTTGATGTTATTTTGTTTTCTTTCAGGCTACCACACTCAAGCTACCACACTCAAGCTACCAAAAGTATGCTACCAAACTTAGGCTACCAGACTGAGTATTGAAGCATTTTGAGGAGGTCTGCTTTAAGAAAAGATATTAGCCACAACAAACAAAATGCATTTGACTGACAATGAAGGATTTTCAACTAATCCGCAAGTTAAATCATAGTAGTCATAACTTAAATTTTAAGCAAGAACATATGTAAAAGATATGCGAAGTCAACTAAATTCACCATCTACGGCTGAGCTTTACTTGATTGACTCCGACATCTTCTTTTGATTTCACCTTTACCAAGGCCGCATAACTTGATATTTTACTCTGAGGGTTTCAACTGTTTGAAAGATGATTGTAAATTGCATCTGTATGCTACTGCTGCTGGTCGTCGTGAAATGGGTACACGCATCGATCAATCTCTTCCAGCCGAACGAAAACAACGTCGTGCAGGGCGACTCAGCGAACGGTCGCATTTACTACAGCAATGACACGAGGTTCATCCCGACATGCGGTTGGCGACTCATACTGTCATCCGCTGACATCTTGTTTAGTGTAGAGGTAAGGTTTTTCTAGAAAATTTCGTTTATTTAACAATTTTTTTATTTATTTTTTTTACAAAATGTTAAAGAAAAGAACAACGATATTGTTGCTTATCGAAAGTGGTGTTGAAAGGCACCCCGAGAACCTATGGCTCCCCAAGAATCTATGGCTCCCCGAGAACCTATGGCTCCCCGAGAATCTATGGCTCCCCGAGAACTTATGGCTCCCCGAGAACCTATGGCTCCCCGAGAACCTATGGCTCCCCGAGAATCTATGGCTCCCCGAGAACTTATGGCTCCCCGAGAACCTATGGCTCCCCGAGAACTTATGGCTCCCCGAGAACTTATAGCATCCCGAGAACCTATGGCTCCCCGAGAACTTATGGCTCCCCGAGAACTTATGGCTCCCCGAGAACTTATAGCATCCCGAGAACTTATGGCTCCCCGAGAACTTATGGCTCCCCAAGAACTTATGGCTCCCCGAGAACTTATAGCATCCCGAGAATCTATTGCACGCCTGTCAAGGTTTAGAAACCCCCTTCCCCACCCCCCAAACACAAAGGATCCATCCATCAAATTAAAATGTCTAACACGAAACTCTGTTCGGACCTGAGGAAAATTCTTTGAGAGCCGCTGTACCACGAGTTGGTTACCACTGCTCCACCAATGAACGGGACCTTATTCGTTTAAACTAGGTGATACTTTTTTTGTGTGTGTTTCAAGAAGAAGACTGAGTTAGCGTATTGATACACCGTTGTTGAAATTGTTATATGAATAAACAAAGATATATAATAATAATAATAATAAGAGGTCTTATATAGCGCGGTACCCTAGCCTAGGGCTGGGCTCACCGCGCTGAACATAAAAATTTTATCAAAAGAGACATAATCATGACATTAAAATAAAATACATTTATGAAATAAAGTACAGCAATGTATATTCACCCACCCCACCACATAACTTTTACAAGGCAAACCATGGACGACAGTCAGCAAGATCATTTATCGGTCAGAGGAGGGGAATCACTCAGGGTAGTATAATTTAAAAAGATATGTTTTTAGTACATATCCGGATCATTTCCTTAAATTTTATTCGAATAAGAAACGTGTCAAATGATTTAAATGACAAATAATTTTCCAGCCTGAGTTCATGTTTGTGACTTCACAGATGCATGACGCGAGTCCGGAGAAAGTGGACGACTACACCTTCATTCTCACCAGCATTCCTGACAAGGGTCGAACCTTTGGCCTCGTGAGTGACATCATCGTCAGCGGGAATTTCCGGTGGGTGTTTATTTCCTGTATCAACACACATGTTAGTGGCACATGTCAGTGGCACATCCGCATCAACACACGTCAGTGGCACATCCACGCTACACATTGGAGTTGTAATGATATAAATCCTGTATCAACACACATGTCGATGGCTCATTCAATGGCACATGCACACTACACTTTAGAGCTGTCATGATATAAATCATGTAGCAACACACATGTCGATGGCACATCCACATAAACACACATGTCAATTTTCTATTGTACACTGGGGCGGAAGTGTTTTTTGTAACCAGTATTACTTTCTGTTAAAGTCTGGGATGTGTTTATAAGCACCCTACGTATTACGTATTGAATTATGTAATACGTTGGTCCGGGACTGCACTCGAATATAACTGACTTAATCATTTTACCATGCTATAGATGGGAATTAGCATGAGAGAAAATATTGACACACACGCACAAGCCCCTAAAATGCACAATTCCATCATGTATTTCCCATCTCTAACATCCAATTTACCCATCAATCCATCATATAGTATTCCTTCGTCAAGTTTCCTCTTAAATGTCCAAGGCACACATATCTTCATACAATCTCTTATATATTTTGCTTGTGGTGTGACTGCTTCCATTTACGGATAGCATGCAAAATATCATTCCCGATAACTACGCTAAATGATATAATATAGCTTTTTAAATAACTGTTTGGTAGGTAAATTTTTTTTCTTTTCGGAAAATGGAATCGTCTTAATTTAAATATGGTGTAAATAAATATTCATTTTAAAAGTGGTTGGGACATCAGAATATTATTATAGTTCATGGGCGTGAAATAAAAAGTGTTCAGTGGCGTAGCATTGGGGGAGTGGTGGGGGTGTGTGAAAGGGTGTAGCAAATATTGGGATTCTTAAATGTGCGTTACTTGAGTTCATGTTTTGTCAAGTAACTTTAGTAGATGGGAAGTTCACGCATTGCTGTCGCCAATGATTGGTGAGCTATTATATATATATATACATATATATCTTTATCGTCTGCAACAGCAACCAGTTTCCAAGCCTTTTTATCACGTGGTTTTGTGTTTGCAATGACTCAACAGCCTCACCAACTTCACCAGCTTCAACGTGCCAGGTCAGAACATATAATAAATAACATTTTAAAACAGCATACGTTTCAAATAAATTACAATATTATCAAGATCATTCTATATTAATTGATTTAAAAAAAAAAAAGACTATATGCAAAAAAAAAATAAAAAAATTCTAATTCTCAACAGCCTCACCAACTTCACCAGATTCAACGTGACAGGTAAAAACATATAATAAATAACATTTTAAAACAGCATACGTTTCAAATAAATTACAATATTATCAAGATCATTCTATATTAATTGATTTAAAAAAAAAAAAAGGAATATATGCAAAAAAAAATAAATTCTAATCTATTTTTCTGTATGATAACCCATTTATAAAAATTCACGCATGGAATAAAATTTCTGTGGAATATCTTCATAAATGTATGCAATTTTCTATACTATTAAACTTGAAAAAAATTGGAATTTAATTTATTTCATAACAATTTTTTTAAAAAGATAACGAAAGCTATTTTAACAAATAAAATAAAAATATTAAATTGTAAACTAATAATTATAGATCATCTAGGAAACTTAAAAAAACATAAACCACTAAAAAGAGACAATTAACAGTCCAATTAAATACAAAAGGCAACGGCTATTATGTGTACGTGCGTACGCCCATGTACTTTACCTAGTGGTGGCTTTCTCTTCTTAATCATTGAATTATTCTAGTTTCTTCCATTAGTTTCTGTTTCTTTATATTTATTATTTTACCTGCACTGTTGGAGTAGTTCTGTAGTTGAAGAAGGCTTTCTGGCGATACGCCAGTTGTGTTCGTTTATTCTCTTCCCTGAGTCTTCCCATATTGTGTTGCATGTTCTTCTCTTGTACAGCTTTAGCGCGTTCTCTTCAACATTCTCCTTAACATTCTCCTCAACATTCTCCTCAACATTCTCCTCAACATTCTCCTCAATATTCTGCTCAGCATTCTCCTTAACATTCTCCTCAACATTCTCCTCAATATTCTCCTCAGCATTCTCCTCAGCATTCTCCTTAACATTCTCCTCAACATTCTCCTCCACATTCTCCTCAGCATTCCCCACAACATTCTCCTTAGCATTCTCCTCAGCATTCTCCACAACATTCTCCTCAACATTCTCCTCAGCATTCTCCTCAGCATTCTCCTCAACATTCTCCTCAGCATTCTCCACAGCATTCTCCTCAGCATTCTCCTCAGCATTCTCCTCAGCATTCTCCTCAGCATTCTCCTCAATTCTCCTCAGCATTCTCCTCAGCATTCTCCACAACATTCTCATCAACATTCTTCTCAGCATTTTCCACAGCATTCTCCTCAACATTCTCCACAACATTCTCCTCAGCATTCTCCACAGCATTCTCATCAGCATTCTCCTCAGCATTCTCCTCAGCATTCTCCACACATTCTCCTCAACATTCTCCTCAGCATTCTGATCAACATTCTCCTTTACATTCTCCCTAATTACACCAGAGAACCAAATAACCCACTTTAAAAACAAAGTTGATCCTGATCAAAGCGTTTATAGATAGGTCATGTCAGCTCCCAGGTAAGCCTTGACCTCACGATAAGTTCATTCAACATGCTTGCAGCCCGTGGGCTGTGAGACCATCGCCCCAACCAGGGCCGACAGTGTGTCGAGGTGCACTCAGGTACCGGGGCCAGGGACCACAACCGCTGGGACGACACCGCACCCAACGGTGGATCTTCAGGACTTCCAACTGTCATCGAGCTCGAGTAAGAAATGAAGTCGAAACATTGATAAAGCTTTTTTCTTAAAATTATAACCGAACAGCGTTTTCCCTTGTTCATGCTGTGATACGTTTCATAGGATTATCCGTATGAATTATAAAGGATTAACGCATTGCAAATAAATTTTAACGCATTGAAAAATAAAAGCAGTAAATGTTCAATTATTGTAATAAAACAACCGCCAATAGAAAATGGACAACTTCCCCCTGAACATGACACATGGGCCAGCTTGCAGAAATCAATTAGTAGCTCCATCGTCCACCCTTCCCCCCCCCAAACCACAACCCACCCATCCCAGCCCTGTTGCCATGTAGCGAATTATATTTTGCAACTTAACATGCACATTGTTCAATTTGATGAGAGCTAAACCACATGTCACGTCCCTTTAACCTTCATTCAAATATTATCTGTTACCCCTTCCCAGCAATTCAAAGTGCACAGCATGGATCTGGGGATGTTTTGATTGGCCCGTAATTACCCCCACACCCCAGCCCAACCACCATTTTAAAGTGTGCAGCGATGGCTCTGGGGACATTTTGATTTTCCCAGGATAAAATCCCCACCTGAATTCAAAGTGTGCAGCGATGGCTCTGGGGACATTTTGATTTTCCCAGGATAAATTCCCCACCTGAATTCAAAGTGTGCAGTGGTGGCTCTGGGGACATTTTGATTGGCCTCATGTTACCCCAATTAAAAATATCCTATTAAACATTCATAGCATTACCTTTTCTGAATTGAAATGGCTCGAAAAGAAACAATGAAATTCGTCAAAGTTCTATAATAATCAAAAACATTTGAATACAGTAGATTTTGTTTTATATTGGAAAAGACAAACACATTATTATATTTTTAAATGAAATTTTATACAATGAAAAAAAAAACCCACGATTGTTCTCTACAGACAGTTCTTCTTTTGCCGCAGGTCCTTGCAATAAGATATTAGACCGAAAAGGAGACTATTGCTACTCCGGCGATGGCTACATGGCTTTGACCAGTATCCATCACTTTGTAGACTGCTGTGCCATCTGCTGCGCGTCTCCAGCGTGTGAAGGCGTCAACTTCCACCAAGGCGCTCACGAATGTGACATAGTTGTAGTCAAGATTGAATCAAACTCAACTTTCCTGACTAGAGTACAAGACTGCATGTTTTGGAAGGTCGGCTATCAAAGCTAATAACAGATTTTTTAAACGAATGTGGGGGAAAATAATTAATCGAAAATCTTGCAAAGTAAAATCGAACAACGAAGAATAAAGAACTGTGTAACCCAAAATTAAATGTAGACATTCGATTGAGAACCACTGAGGCAGAATAAGAGTTATTGCTGGACAATCTTCGGGGTGCTATGGAATTTGATTTTTGAGGATTGTGTAGATTTCAATTTATTCTTAAATGAGACAATAAAAAAAAAATGAAAAAAATATTTCGAAAAAACTTTGACATGATTTTGTTACAGGAACAATTTGCCTTTGCTCTTTTGTCTAAATGTGTCTTTTTTGTTTTGTTTTGAGCAACTGTTTTGTTCTCATCTCATTTTCTTTATTTTCATAGTATTGTCAACCATTAATATTGAGTTTTATCAGAATTTTTTCGAAGCTCTACATGTAATCTATATAACATTACAAACTCATTTTATAAATGAATAATCTAGCCACATTGGCCTGAGACAGCTAACTCTTTTATTCTTGTTAATTCAGCCAGCAGGCACACACACACAAAAAAAGAAAGTATTTTAAAAAAGGGATAGAATGAAGACAGGAATCATGCCAGAAATCATGATAGGATTCATGACAAGAATCATGACAGGAATCATGACAGGAATCATGACAGGTATCATGACAGGAATCATGACAGGAATCATGACAGGAAATAATGACAGGAATCATGACAGGAAATAATGACAGGAATCATGACAGGAATCATGACAGGAATCATGACAGGTATCATGACAGGAATCATGACAGGAATCATGACAGGGATCATGACAGGAATCATGACAGGAATCATGACAGGAATCATGATAGGAAATAATGACATGAATCATGACAGGAATCATGACAGGAATCATGACAGGAATCATGACAGGAATCATGACAGGAATCATGACAGGAATCATGACAGGAATCATGACAGGAATCATGACAGGAATCATGACAGAAATCATGACAGGAATCATGAGCTTCTTTCAGGGTTTTGTCGTAATGAGCACCCACATCCTTTGAAATGTCCGGGGTCGTCACACCCACAGAAATCCATCAAAAGGTTTGTCCGGGGCCCTCACACACTCGGCCACACCTGTAAACGCAATTGGTACCAAGCAATACTTTGAACTTTAAAACCTGGAAACATCGTAATTATTACATGTTCGGTTCAAATGAAACACAAAAGTCTGAACCTAAAAATTGACGACAGGAGAACGAGCTACGAGTATCCCAACATGGATTGCGAATATAAAAAGGAAAAGGGGGGGGGGGCGGGTGGTAATGTTGATTAAATTCAATCAACGTACGGATTTTCTGGATTTCATGTTTCAATCAACCGAACTTGTTGTTTTTTTTTAATTCTAAATCTAAAACTTAGTACATCATCAACTATGATTGTGCAAACTTGAAAATTCGAGTATGGGGGGGGGGGGGGGTGGTAATGTTGATTAAATTCAATCAACGTACGGATTTTCTGGATTTCATGTTTCAATCCACCGAACTTGTTGTTTTTTTTTAATTCTAAATCCAAAACATAGTACATCATCTACTATGATTGTGCAAACTTGAAAATTCGAGTAGCTGACCGTCCCGGGGAAGATGTCATATTATTGATTTTTCTTATAAAGTTTTCCTGTTCCGTAAACAAAAGGCCGTGTTTATTTTCCCATGAGCTCAAATATTTAGAAGAAGATGTCCTGCATTAATCAGGTCATGGATTGTTGAAAAATTATTCTTCGTATTTAGTGCAGAAATAATAGGTGGACTTGGAAGTAGTTTGTCATTGGTAGATGGTAGCATGCAAGTTTGAATAGGGCATTGTTGTCTTAACGAATGAATAAACTCAATATTAATGATTGACAATACTATTTAGAGATTGGTGATTTAGTTCGAGGGAACTAGTAAGTTACTCATGAGGGAGAGAGAGAGAGAGAGAGCGAGGAAGAGAGAGAGAGAAGGAGACAGGGTGGGCTAGGATGGAAATAAAAAAGAGAGCGGGTCAGAAAGAGGAAGAGGGAGAGAGACAGAGGAGGGGAAATAAAGAAAGAAAGAGGGAGTGAGAGAGAGAGAAAGAGAGAGAGAGAGGGATATCCGTCCATCTTAATGAGACGATGGTGAGGACTTAGCGTGACGAAACCGCAATGCCTGACATTTCTGAAGCTGGTTCTGTAGACACCAGATCCCGTCTCTCCTTTGCATCTGGTGAAATCCTTGGTTCCATCAAGTCTGGATGACACAGCCTGGCACCAGGAGCATCGAAGGAGTTGCCGTAATTTTCCTTGAGTCACTGCCCTTCTGTCCAAATACTCAGGCGGCCGATGTCCGGTTGAATTGATGTCCGACCACGAGACGAGGATGCTACGTACGTACTGACTTTGTTAACAATGACTTGCGTAGAAATGTCACCGTCCCTTGACCGGCAGGAAACAAGTCGCTTCTCATTTGAACAAATAGTGGACCAGGCATGATAAAGAAAGGATTTATCTCTTGCAAACACTCGGTCAATAGGAGAAATAAAATAGAAATGCTTTGAGAGTAACCCACACACAACCTGTGGGAAGAACAAAAGCTCTGTTGTGCAAACATACCTTGCAAAGTACGCCCTGAAAAATCAACAACTATCTGACACATCTGACGTCGCACACGTTTATCTGATATACGCATCTGGAAACGTTCGACCACGCTTGACATCCAATCCTTCCCTGCTGTCAAACGCCTGATGCCATGTGCCACATAATAGTCAACCAAAGACAGTGTAATCTGTGTACGGTAAAACATATTTTTTTAGGGACGCACGCTTCGTGTCCTGCCAACTATTAACGGTCGACGAAAGAGAAAGTTTTTTTTACATTAATTTTATTTTCTGTATTAATTTGATATGAGGAAGGCTGTCCTTACCTTCACGTAATGATTAGCAGATTGAATCGAGAAAGCGTGCATTGAGTTTTCAATACATATATCTCTGTTACAGCCTCATCGGATTACTGTTGGTATATAATAGAAGAGAGTAAAAAAAAACAACAACACGCTTTTGTATTGAGATACAGTTTATTTGCAAAGTGACAGAAAACTCCAACCATAGAACTGGTTCATTATTAAAATACCTGAAATAAATACTTCACGTTCAGCTCCCGTGTATTCTTAATTTAGTCAATACGGTTTCTGGTGATGATCTTCTGGTTGCAAGATTTGGCGGTTGCCAATGGCAACATGAAGCTTAGACACGTTTTGAGGATGGGGGTAGGGTGAGGGTTGGGAGGTAAGTTTATTTGAGGCCTGGCTGTGTAAACTTTTCTTTTATATTGGTAAGACTTTTGCTGGCTACGTTGTCTGGCATTTGCTGGTAAGAAATATGAGAGTGATCCTCCCGTTAAAATTAAGAAAAATAATAATTTAAAAAAGAAAAGATCATTTAAGGAAAATATTTGTTAGTGAACACCAGAGTAAGCATTTCTTGAAACAAGGTAATTATATAATATAACTATTGTATCTGAACATGTTGCAAATGTGATCGAATGAAATATATCCTGGGTAAATAATTGTTTTCATGATTCTACAATTTCTATTTTCTTATTCTCTGATTGGCTTTCTATCGAATACCTGAATATTACTGTCTAAATGGATAACATCTCGAATACCTGAATATGATGTCATCCATTTAGACAGTAATTCTCAAATTTTTTCGCCCAACGAATTTAAAAATAAAAAAAATTCTGATTCTGAAAAAATCCACCACCGTCCACATAAGATAGTCTAGCCCTATCTCTCCCCCCATTCTACCAAAAGTTTATCGCCCCCCTCCGGGACATCTTAAGGCCATATAGGGGTGTTACTACCCACTTTGAGAACCACTGATTTAGGACAACCCCCCCCCCCAAAATACATATAAATGATATTGCAATTTATGTTTAGCTTTGTCATTTTATTTGTCCAGTCAGTTATATAACCTGATTGGCATCAATGATTATAAAATATTATAGCCTGCTGTATGTTCTGAATTTGATTACTAAGATGATAATATAAAATAAGATATTATCATATAGGGGTGTTACTACCCACTTTGAGAACCACTGATTTAGGACAACCCCCCCCCCAAAATACATATAAATGATATTGCAATTTATGTTTAGCTTTGTCATTTTATTTGTCCAGTCAGTTATATAACCTGATTGGCATCAATGATTATAAAATATTATAGCCTGCTGTGTGTTCTGAATTTGATTACTAAGATAATAAGATAAAATAAGATATTACCCAACAATCTGGCATAACTTAGTGTAGGCCACAGTAGTAAGGGGCGGTAAGTTTGTGTCCACAAATGGGAGATGATTCTGAATTCAGTAGTCATTTCCCTTTACAGATCCCATTACATATTTTGATTCTTGATTAACTTAATAGTCAGTCCAAGTTGTGTATTGGTACAAAGATCGCGCGACACGCATTTTTTGGACGTGTTCCCATTACCCGCCGAGACGAAATTGTAAGATATAATTGTACTTATCTTTTTTTGTTAGGTTTTTTGTGTGTTTCTTTTAAATTTTGAATTCATTCTAAAGGCTATACACTGAAACGCTACAATGATTTCTGAATCTACATACAGTTAGTCCTTCGAGATAGACCATGACCAATTTTTATCATCGTATTCGTGCTATTTCTTACTTTAACTGCGGGTGCGCAGAGGGCTCATGAGACCGATTCTGGCACACAATGTTCTTGTTCAATAAAGTGCATGGAATAGATGGGGTCATCTCCAGGTGTAGAGTTTACCCGTGCTTTTCCGGCACGTCATTTGTGCTCTGCAGCCGCTGTTCTGTTGGATTTATGCTGTATGGAGCTTTTGTGCAAACAGGAGCAGCAGGACGCTCGATCCTTTGCTGATTGATGTCGGGTTTGTATCGAACGTTTTCAGTGAGCCTTTTAGATAGTCTTTGAAGCGTTTCTTCCGCCCATCAGCAACCCCCCCCCCTTTCCCTGCACGAGCTCACCATAAAATACTCTCTCGGGAAAGCAGGTCGTCTGAAATTCTCACAACATACCCCGCCCAGGGAAGAAGCTGGGACTGCATCAAAATCGTGAAGATGGCGTGGAGTACATCAGTGTCTGGGTCGGACCCTGTCCTGCTCGTTGATGTTCGGGATTTTTCCGAGGCTTGTCATTTGAAAGTGGTTCAACTTTCTTTCGCTACGTTGATAGACCA